CATGCACTGTCTTGGGGTCTATTTCATAAAACTGCCTTGGTTATTTGAAGATACTAAATCATGGATGATGAACATTATTCACATATAAAAACCTTTACTGTGAATAATTATGTCAGATTTGGGTAGAGATAGTTCATTGTGCAGGTGCAGGTGGCCAGAGAGAATGGAGGCCTAATCTTGTGAATCTGGGAAAGATTAATCCTTACGATTGGATAGTCTGGGCTCTAAATTGGTCTCAGGTTACTGAGGTACTGCCAAAAGTCTGAGGTTGCTGGGGGTTCTGCAGTTCTGGGGAGAATTTGAGGACAAGAGTAGGGAGCGTGCCAGTCCTCTAGATGTGACAGCCCTCGTGACTGTGTAGTGATGTTTGGCGGATCCCTCTACGGGGGAGCTGAGTTGTTAGAAATTGTGCAGTGAGGGGACTAGGACAGTGACAGGGGCAGATGCCAAGATGGATACAGGTGGCAGAAGCTAAGCTCCTAGAGCAGAAATGGGCAGAATTCCAAAAGTGGGCAGCCTTCCAGAAGTGGTGTGCCCAGTATTCTTTTATTTACAAGTTTATGGACTTCTTTGGCAAAGATGCATGTTAATGAAGTTGCTTTGGAAGAAAATTTGCGTGACAGAGAGACTGTGTTTAGGACTTGATGTAACTCTTGCCAAGATACAATAGCTTCTTTTTGTGCAGGTGTGTGAAAGAGCCACCTTATACTGTCAGTAAGGCAGCTGTGTCAAAGAGTAAAAGGCAGACATTCAGAATTATCAGAGGTCAGCTTGTGCAGGCAAGGAGTCTGCATTGTTGACACCACTGACATATCTGGGCTGCCCTCGGCCATCGAAAGACTGAGCTCTGGCAGCAGGTTCTGGTGGCGTTATAAGTATGGATCACAACATGTCTGAGAGCACCTACAGTGTGTACAGGGCATCAGCACCAGCCTGCCTAGATCTGATTTCTGATTCCACCTCTCAGTTGCTCAGTCTCATCATGGCTATAATATTAAACTCTCTGCCTTTTCATTTCTTCATATGTAGAGGGCAAGTATATTTAGTACCCCTTTAATTATCTCGAGGTTTGAACGGGTTGATACATGTGTAGCTCCCAATATGTATTAGATGGTGATGACGAAGAAGATTATGGTTGAAGAGGGTAGTACGCACATAGCTCCCACTAATCGTTAGATGATAATGCTATAATGATGGCATTAAGATGGGCATTGCCGTCACGACACTGTACAGTGCACAGGAGGGTGGCAGTGTCATCCTCCTCTGCCTCAGTAAGGCTCTCTGGACCTTGCCACCACGTGATCCACCCCAACTACTTGTCTGCTCTCCCTCTTTTACAGCAGTTCCCTCAAAACACTTGAATTGCCCCCAAGTAGTGGCTGACCTTGGCTTGTTTAACCTGTCCTGTCTGCGTCAAGCTTCCTGGCCTTGATTGTGGAGTCTCAGAAGACACGAGTGATGTGTTCTACATGCAGTTCTACAGTCATAGAACATCTGGGGTTTGTTTTATCAGATGAAATGATTCTTACACAGAAAGGAAGGTTTTCCTCACAAGTGGCAAGGGAGAAAGCATGTCCAGGGCACGTGTTAGAGAATGTTTAGGACCTGGGCACTTCCGGGGAAGTGCAATTTTTTAGAGTCATCAGATTCCTCAAGCATCTTTTTTCCACTTGCACAGTTAGCTTCGGCAGACTCAAGCACAGTTTCCAGAGCTTTAAAACTTTGCAAGGTGTGGAGCCTCTTCTTACCACAGTGTCCCCTGGCGATGGGGAGGGACATGCATAGCTACATAGGTATGTTGTGCACAGGGACTTGCTTGATGATTACTGGGAATGTGAGAGATACAGAGTTAGAGAAAGAGTCAGGGAAGAAGGGAGAGATCGTTTTATTTCTGGTTCTGTAAAGAATCTGACCAGACTGGCCCACTGAGTGGTTGAAATAGAGGAAGGGGGACCAGCAGATGGTGTAATGGTTACATTGCTAGACTCCCACATGGCCCACCATGGTTCAAGTCCGGCCCTGCGAGCTTGAAACTCGGGCTGGGCACGTGTGTGTGCATGCCCAAAATCCCAAGAGGAGAATGGAGGAAAAGGGATTGTGGCATGGACATCCCCTGGGGTAGGAGTGGGTTGATTTCTTGCTTTCTGTTTCTCTGTCTCTCCAGCAAGTGTACATGCCCTACAGCAAAAATCTTCTAAAATAGATAAAAAGATACAGAGGAAGAGTCAGGCAGTGACTGGCATGAAGATCTACCCTACTGGTTGAGGGTCACCCCCCCAAAAAAGAAAGATTTACATTGCCAGGAAAAGCTAACAGTTTCAAGGCAGATTTGAAGGAATTAAATTATTCTTAGGCATATTGCCTGGTTTCTAAGCATTTAGGGATATGTAAATGTTCATGTTCTTTAGAGTTTTGTCTTTTTTGTACAGAGTACATTAGTACTAAAAATGAGATGTGCTAGTTCTACATTTTTGTGTGAATTTATGCAGTGAATATTTAATTTGATTCTGCATTTTTCAAAAGAAGAGGTTTTCTTCAAGCAGATAATGACTTATTTTTTTCATGTGTTCTGCAGCTTGCTTTAATTTTCTTTTTGCCTCTCATGACTGTAATGCAAAGTAGAGTACTATCCCAAATTAATATTCTCGCTCCGCAAAGACTTTCAGTGTTTGTTTTTGCTTCTTTTAATATGTAACTCCCCTAAGAGTGTTATTGTATTACAGCTAAGAGGCTTTAACCATGTAAAGTTGAATACTTTACACTCTCGAATGCCAACATAACAATTTATGATTCTGTTTTGTTTCTTAAGATACCTACACTGAAAAGTGCCTATAATATTAAACTTGAAAAGTGTTCCACTCTGCAAAACTTATAAAAGCTCTTTTGATAAAGCACAGTGAAATTATGGGGCTGTTTTTATTGCTTTATTGTGCAGCCAGCTTAACTGAAGCCTTTAGGTTGCTTTTGCTCTTTATAACAAAGATAACATTGAGAAGGGCAGTATACAGTGTCTGTGTGCCCGCAGTGTCTGTTCTAGCACCCGTCCGCTGATTTCCTCTCTAACTGACAGTCTGTTTAAAACCAATAAAAAAGCAAACCTTTTCCCCTCCACTCAGCTCTCCTTCTAACTTGCAGCAATGATCTCTGCTTTCTCTTGATTTCTTAACTCCTTAAAATCGAGTTGCTGTTGGGAACCAGCAGTTAGCGTAATGGCTATGTCTCTGGACTCCCACGTAGTCGACCGTGGTTCGTGTCTCGGACCTGGTGGCTTAAAACTCACGCCGGGCGCGTGTGCATGCGTGCCCAAGATCCTGAGAGGAGAATGGAGGAGAGGGGATTGTGGCGTGACCATCCCCCCTGGGGGGTGATTTCTTGCTTTCTGTCTCTATGTCTGTCTCTGTCTGTCTGGTGAGCGCACGCGCCCTACAGTGAAAATCTCTCCAAAAATAAAAAAGAAAAAAAAAAAAATCGAGTTGCTGTTCTTACTACCAGGCTGGAATCCACTTTCTCAGAATTCAGAGGTGATTCCAAGATGAGCAGAGCCCCTGTGATCTGACCTTGCTCACTGTCCTTTTTTTTTTTTTTTTTTTTTTTTTTTTTTTTAAGAGGTTTTTGCCTTAGGTCACGTGCCCTCACCAGAGAGAGAGAGATAATGAGAGGAAAGTGAGAAATCACCCCCAGGGGGGATGGCCAGGCCACAATCCCGTCTACTTTATTCTAGTCCTGTAGACTCACCCAGCATGATTTTCAAGCGATTGGGTCTGGGACCGGAGTCACAGTCTGCTTTGTGGGAGTCCTGTAAAGTAACTGCTACACCATCTGCTGGCCCCAGGGTTTCATTTTAGGGGTCACATTTTACTACTTACTGCTTACTTTTGGGACCTTGAATTCCCCTCCTCAGCTGACACTGAACCTCAACATTTGGTCCTTGGGTCATTTTAAAAATTTTTTAACCTCTTCATTTTTTTACCCTGTGTGCTCCTCCAGTCTCCTGAGCCTTGTCTTATTTGCAGCTGAACACCAAATTCTAGTATGTCCCTCTTCTCAATCACAGACCAGGTTTTTGATAGCCACTAGCTCACATGCACGTGGGTATCAGCATCCCCGTGAGTCTGTCAGGTCTCCCAGCTTCCCTTTGCCTGATACTGGTACAACATTCTTCTCATGTGTACAGGATCGGGAATCCTTTGCTCCTCTTTCTAGTCTCACATGTAAGCTCTGTCACATCCAACGTGTTTCCTCCCCGTCAAGCCTCTTCCTTCAGTCCCCCCCTTTCCACCCCTCTTCCTGCCTCCTTGGTTCGTGCCCTCGTGGCTGCTTGCCGGAGGGCTGCAGTGTACCTTTCTTAGCTTTCCCTCCTCACATCTGTCCTGTGCCAGTCCCTCCCACGTACTGTGGTTAGCCTGAGATTCCTCAAGTGCGGCTGCAGTCTTGCTCCCCTTTCTCCAAGCCCTGTCAGGGCTCCCCATTGTGAACTGCATTACTCCTGACTTGACACTGGCACATATCACACGTCCCCTGCCAGTCGTTCTAACCTACATCCCACTGACTCCTTGGCTTCAGTTGAATTGGACTGCCTGTTCTAGCTCTTCCCAGAACAGGACATTTGCTTCGTCACTTTGTACCAGGATCATGCCACACATTCCGTGCTGTCTTCAGACCCTTGCAGTTAGATGTGGTCTCTCCTTCATTTGAACCCTCGTGTTGCTGTCTGTCTGATGGCATTTACCTAGTGTTGTGGTTCCTTGTTTACTAGGCTTATCTCTGAGACGTTGCCACATGCCAACACTCCTCCTCCCGCCCCCACGCCCGCCCAGTGTTCTTAGAAGGCAGGGCCGTCTTACTAATCTTCGCCGTGTATACTGTGTCAGGCAACAGCACACTGGCCTGTGTGTGTCTGCCGGCCTGATTAAGTACTTGCTGAGTGGAAGTAGAAATTCAAATTCACACAGATGGCAAAGTGTGATGTTCATTCATAAGTCTTGTTTTTCTTTTGCTAGGTGAAGCTCGTGCGTGGAGTGCCACAGTACAATCAGACGGCAGATGGACAGTGTGACGAGAGCGTCAGAGAGGATCGGGCCTCGCTGTGAGAGTCGGCCTGGAGTCAGAGTGTTGACAAGTTGTTGAAAAGGAAGCCAGTGGGAGGACTGTGGCACACGGAGGAAGTACAGCCCTGTCTTCGTCTTGCCATTGATGGAGGACAGATGGACAGCCGGATGGCCAGTCACCTCTCCTCTTAAACCTTTGGAGAGTGGTCCTTTGTCCTCTGCTGGACACATATCAGGCATTTTAACACAGGCTCCAAATTCACTTTCCATAAATACATAAAATTAGACTGCAGTATACAACCAGACTCATCTGTTGCATGCAACAGGTTCTCAAACATGAGTGCCGAGGGCTACCAGTACCGAGCGCTGTACGACTATAAGAAGGAACGAGAGGAAGATATCGACTTGCACTTGGGTGACATTTTGACTGTGAATAAAGGATCTTTAGTAGCACATGGATTCAGTGATGGACAAGAAGCCAGACCTGAAGAAATCGGCTGGTTAAATGGCTATAATGAAACCACGGGGGAGAGGGGAGACTTTCCGGGAACTTATGTAGAATATATTGGAAGGAAAAAAATCTCACCCCCGACACCAAAGCCCCGGCCACCTCGACCCCTTCCTGTTGCACCAGGTTCTTCTAAAACTGAAACAGACAGTGAACAACAAGGTCAGTATTGATGAGCGATTGCTTAATGACACCTTTTTTGTTGCTTTCTAAAAGGACACGTCATAGGTTTGGGTTGGGCTGTTATGTCTGGGCAGAGGTCATTTTGGCAACGTTACCTGACTGGTATATAGTATGTAAAAGCTTGGCCAATCATTACACAGATAGAAATTTGAGGCAGGGAATTATTAAAAAATAGGGAGGTAGTATATGAGAACCTATTTCGTGTCTTTGAACAGTATTATTACAGTTGCCATTGGATTAAAAGTCTAGTGCTATTTTTCATTCCTGTAATCTGTATTATATATCTAAATCGTCATTGTGAGAAAATAAGGGGTAAGTCTAATATATAAGTATATCTAACGTTAATACGATCTGTATGGAAAATGTAGGCAGTAATAAAAGACCACAGAATGCAGCAGAGAAGAAACCATTGTTTTTATAACCTGGTATCTACCTCTTGGTTTCCTCTCCAGGAAGAGCTGAAGCTGAAACCCGATCCTATAGTTAATATCAAAGTAAACGGATTTCTCTCTCGTGGGCAGCACCATTTGTAGTATTAATGCTTATAGTCTGCTTGGCCTTCATGAGGGGGAGGAAGTCACCAAATACTCTCTTAAATAGAAACCACCTTCATTCATTCAAAAACCACTTACTGTTTATTGGAGCCAGTCCACACTTGAGCTTCATGGACAGCTATTCGCTTAAGGTCTTTATTCAGTTTCACACAGAGGCAAGACTTATGCTCAGCTTTCTCAGATACTGGTTTCCTTCTAAGTAAGTCTCAAGCTTTTTGTTTTTCTTGAGTGTCCCCTTTTTTTCCTCCTCAGAGACTAAGGGACATTTAAAGGTGCATTTAAAACCAGTGGTCTTACTTGCAATGCTGATCTAGCACGTAGACTCACCTATGGCCTTACAGACTATTTCTGGAAGAGAGTCCGATACTCCCATTGTACACATTATGTCTTGAGTGTTGGCTCATTCCAACACAAACGACTGAGATCATGAGAATAAAGAGGTAGAGTGCAAGGGTGAAGGGGCTGCCTTTCAGCATTGGGCAGTAATAGGACTGGGAAAATTATGTAAAAGTCTCAAAGGTTACTCAGGTATCTGGTCAGTCTCTTTTTATCCCCACCTGGCCTAAAAGAAGCCTTATTTTATAAATGTTTACCATCCTTCGTAATTTCAAATTGTATCTTTTACTGTATGGTTGAAAAGTGAAAGTTCACCTTTCTTTGCAAGGATATTAAAAATCCCTGACTCTGCGTGTGTATGTGTAATGGTGTCCACTGTTGCCTTTTCTTGTACAGTTTCACATAGCAGATCGACAATGTGTGCATAATGGTATTTCTTCATCAAATTAGATGTTTGTAATTTTGCTTTTTATTTCTTTAAATTGGAAACACTTCCTTAAGACAATTCAAAAGAAATAAATGATTTCACTTTTCCCAGAATACAAAGGGTTATAGATGCATTAAAAGATCTTGGGTGAATTAGAGACGATTGTCTAAAAGGCAGAACAGGGTAACTTGTCAAGATTAGTGACAAAAAGATTTTGTAAAAATAGTTTCCTCTACAAAATTGCATTTGATAACTGCAATCAGGTGTAAGTGTATTTGAATATAGTATACAGAAAAGCAAGTCTTTTTCTGAGAGGGAAAATGATTTTTCTCTTTTTTTAGGCCCTAAGTTATTTTATAATGCTTTCTTTCTCATGTAATGTGGTGACAATTGGGATTTTTAACAGCTTTTCTATTTTTCATTTTAATACATCAGAAGATAGAGAAATATGAAAATTTTTAGCAGAATTCAAGAAATAGACCCATGATAATGTGCATAAATGTATTAGAAAGAGAGAACCTGAATATAAATGAGAAATTAGGAATAACTGAAAGGTTGAAAAGGCAGTGTGTTGGGGGGGCGTCTGTGGGAAGTATAATACTAAACATTAGATTTTCTAGAAATATTAGTCTTGCATTCTCATTTAACTATCATTCCTATCAAGTGAGAATTCAATAGGTCCTATACATTGCCTGTTAAATTGATATGGAAAGAAGTCGTAAGGACATATTTTGTGTTGGAACCTGAGACTGGTTTCCTTTGCATATTTATTTGAAAAGCTTTTGCTGTGACAAATGGTATGAAGGCAAAAGAGGATAGTTCTCTCTTCTTACTATAATTGAATTTTTTAGCCCTTTTTTCCCTTTGACTCCTCCAACTGATTCAGCCTGTTTTTGTGTTTAGTTGTCTTCACTTCTTCTTAAAGGTACCTCTGAGGTCAAACAGCCACATGCCTTTCTCTTGTGGACCATTGGTGCACCCTGTTAGTGAGCAGCAGGATCAGTAGGGGGCGCTAGGACCTGCCTGCCTGCTGCTCACACTTGCTGTGTCCCGCAGAGCCTGACCACCTTCTCAGTTTTATAAGAAACATTGGTCATTTAGCTGAGGCCCAAAGCTGACTCTCTGAGAAGTTCCTTCTTCTATAGTAGAAGCTACTTTTATTCTCCTTGTGTAGTTGTGGAAATCTGTGAAGTTTAACTTTTGGTGGAGGCCGGGGAGTCAAAATCCGTTAGAAAAATCTGATCTACAGCTCCTCAGGAAAATACACTTTCTACTAGTACATTTTGCATATAGATTTTGTTTGTTTGTTTGTTTCTTTTTTCTTTTCTTTTTTTTTTTTTTTTTTTTTGGGAAGCCCTGGCCTATAGAGTGAATGGATTTGTTTATTGGTTTTTCTGGACTTAATTTCTTTCTGTAAGCATGACCTGAGTCCCTGTTTTGTACTTCAAAGCAGGTATAAAAGATGAACTTAAGACTTGGGCGAACCAGCATGCCCTCTGACACCCTGTCTGACCTGTCTCCCACCTCAGGGCTGTGCTTTGTCCCTTCTGCTTAGATGGCTCTTCCCCAAATATCCTCGTGGCTGACCCATTTGTTCAGATCTTTTCTTCTCATGGAGACTGGCTCTGTTCACCCTGTTTCAGGCTGCAACTTGCCCCTCTGCTTTTGCAAACCATTCATCACCCAACGAACTATGTGGTGTACTCATACTTCTGTTGTTCATTGTCTGTTTCCTCGGTTAGAGTGCAGGCTCTGTGAGGGCAGAGATCTTCGTGGCCCCTCATTATCACAGGTAGATACAACAGCCTATAGGTTTTGCATGTGAGTAAACACTTACTACTTTAGCTTACCGTTTATGAGTTTCACATCATGCACAGCTTTTGCAACTAGCCATGGGCTCTGTAGGTCAGGTGCAGGTTTACAAGGCACACGGCCCATCCTGCTTTTGGAGATCGCAGCCTATTGTTACTCACATCATTTACACCTGAAGCCCTGTGCAGTCTTGGTCTTAACCATTGCCCACCATGTCTCCAGAACTCTTTATTTTCTTTCTTTTTTCATTTTCTTTATTTTTATTTGATCAGAGAGGGACAGAGTGAGAGAGAAGGAAAGTGAGAAAGCAAGCCACCAGGTCTGAGACTTGAACTGTGGTTGGCTACGTGGGAATCCAGCACCCTTAATCACCGTGCCACCAGTGCTTAGAGCCAGGAGTTCTGTTGACGGGAATGTGGGTTAAGCTGATAGCGCCCAGTCAGTTAAGCTGTGAGTAGATACGTCATGATCAGTGAGCGTCCACAGGGCACAGATTGTGTGCTCTTTCTTTTATCTCCTTCCCTTTGCATGGGAAATAAAATGGCCAGTATGAGGATCATGTTTTATTTTGTCTCCCCACAATTCTAGAAAGCCCTGTTTTACCTTTTCTTGGGAGAACCTCTCTGTGTGTCATTCAGCCGAAGGGTGAGGTGGGTGTGCATGGTGGCTGTTCTATGCTCTTAGGAAAGATGTGTTGAGAGACACTGCTCCGGCTCTGGCTGTCGCAGACTGCTCAGATGCTGGCGTCCACTCCCCTTCCCACAACCTCATTCAGCTGAGGTCCCCTATTTCCTCCTGTGCATTAGAGATGGGAATTTAGGGATAGGATAATAAAGATATATTTCTGTCTTTCATAAGTAAGCTGTCTGGTGGGACTCTTTCTTGAGACAGTGATTTTAACACGGACTTTGAGATCGTTTAGTCAAAATCATGCTAATACATGGGGCCGGCAGGTGGCATGGTGGGTAAGGGCACTGGACTCCTACAGGACTGACTGCGGTTCAAGTCCTGGACCTGGCAGTTTGCTTTCTCACTTTCCCTCTTGCTCTCTGTCCTTCTCTGGTCAAATCGAAATAAATAAATAAAGATGAACAAAATAATTCTTTAAAGAAAAATCATGTTAATACAGAATATTTAGACTAGTGAGATTCTGTGACTGTGTCACATGTTGAGATCCGCGCACTTGCGAGGTGACTGTGGAGTTGGAGTTCAAACCGCTCTCCATCCACAACCCACACCCTCCATTCCCAGCTCTCTGCTTGGACCCTTCACAGCATGTCCCAGCTGGTTTCACAAAGACAACACCAAGTACACATTTGCCGTGGCCTAGTTTAAATTTTGCTCAACCTCCCTTCTAAACTGACGAAGAAAAAAGCTTGCAGTTGGTGTTGGTTTTCATGGTTTCCCGAGACATGTTATTTTTACATTTTTCACACTCAGCATTTGCGTGTCCCTGCACGGTTGTCACTCCCTGTCTAGGAATCAAGGCCATAATAAATCACATAAATTGACTACACTGTACAGAGGTCACAGGAAATAGTGACCTGATCCCAAATGACACACCTTTGCTGAGCCCATGGCCATAACCTATGGCTGTCTCCTTGAGGCAACTAAACGGTGCCTGTGCAAGTAATTTGCTTTGCTTCACAAATTCCTGTCTGTAGGAATGCTTTATTTCAGGGTATGCCTTCTCACAACTTTGCCCACCTTCTCGCCCGTGTAAGTGAGAGTGCTGTGCCGTGGGAGGCTCGTCTTGTTACGCCCCCGAGAGATAGGGAGAGTATCCACGTTAGCTGCCGACTGCCCATCCTGCTTCCACTGACCTCTCTGCTCTTGTAAAAAAAGCCAAG